AGGATTCACGGCGATCTTCTTTTCTAGGATTAGGTATATAGTAAGGCTGGGTGGCAAGGGGTCCGGTACGGTTCGGGTCCAGTTGGACTTGGGACTTTAGTATTCGAGCTTAGGTTTTGGACCCAGTCATTCAAAAGTTGGACCCATACCTATTCCCATCGGACCCGGGAACTATCCTGTTGGGTCTCGGGTCTAATCGGGGCCATTGCACCCTCACCTGGAGCTTCCTTTTCTTTTGCTTTTTTTTTTTTCCCTTTTATTTTGCCTTTTTTTTTTTTACCATCATATACCCATATTATTGACACCAAAGACACAATCACCGGCCATTAGATTTCAAGCAGTATGATTTGTCGTTTAATAGCTAAAAATGACTATAAGTTCTTATTATATATGATTCTTAATACACCTAAACGAATAGGGCTTGAAGTATTTTATCTCCAACAGTTTACAAGTACGAGTTGGGTCCAACTGGATTCGAACCCAGTCCCAAATGGTGTTCGGGTCCAAGATTTGGATCCGAACCCGACCCGCCGGGTCCAAATGTTGGACCCATTCCCGAACCTGTGTCAAGCACATCTGGCGAGTCCCGCATCCATTGCTATCGCTAGCTGAGGGTTTACAAATTCGGTAAGACTGCACATGAAAACCTTGGATCATGACCTTTAAATTTATTTCTACCTCTGAATTGGAATTTGAAGCTCTTCTTTATATATGTCGCCTTTCAAGAGAAAAATGATATTTGAAGCTCCAAAAGTTGTACATATTCATTACTAGAGCTTAAAAATTTTTCTTTCTTCATGACCACGATAGTCAAGATAGAGATGATCAATTTGTAAGTTTATCGGCTAAAGCTATACTTTTTGGTGAAATTCATGTGGAAGCACCCTTCCAATGATTGACATTTCACAAGGCTATATCTAATGGCCAAATATATATTTTAAATAAAAACAACTAAAATACTCCTAAACTTTATTTTGATCAATATTAGTTAATTAAAATATTTTTTGTTGCTTTCATTTAATTCTAATTATAAATATAAAAGTAAAACCCAAATGTCAAATCAATATTATTTTTAAATAAAAATAAAAATAAAAACAAAATTCATTTTTGGCTAAGGCTGGTTCCATCCGAACCGTTATCAGGTTCTTGTGCACCTTTTAAGCCTGTTTCTGGAATTTTTAAAGGCAAGCACATTGTTAACGAGTATGAGAAAGGTCTCAAAAGCATACTAGCAATCGTTAGATTGAGCTGATGGACGGTTATGAAGAGACAATGAGACTTACCATTGGGGTCCTAATGCATTCTATTGAGTCCCACCATCTCTCCATCGCCATCCAATTAAATGAACCGTGATGAGACATGTTTTATGGAAAATATATATAATGAGATCATTTGCTTTTGATACAAAGTGGTCACAATTAATCTTGACCAATGAATGTGAAATTGGGCAGAGTATTTATTTTATTTGTCAAACTTAAAGTTTAAAAAGAAATTTTTTTGAACTTTATGACACACCGAAGCTATCAAATTTAACATCAAATGAACATAAATAATTGTAACCTTATCGTAGCAAAGATAAGTGGTCTCATTGTGTATAACCCCAATAGTTATTGTGTGCTTCACCAAGGTATCATTTGGAAACTTAAAAATAGTTGGATTGTGAATAGAAAAAGTGGTCTCATTGTGTATAACCCCAATAGTTATTGTGTGCTTCACCAAGGTATCATTTGGAAACTTAAAAATAGTTGGATTGTGAATAGAAAAATAAGAAAGGGAGGCAAGGAGGTAATACTCAACTTAGGTATGAGCTCGAGGCAAAGGTGGTTAAATTCTCCAACATTACGTCTTGAGTTTTAATATTAAAAAAAAAAAAATTAAAATATCTACAAGAGATGAATTATTTAATATTTTACCCATATATATTGAGTTAATTTCAAAATACATTGGATGATAAGTTGGAATAGTTACAAATGTGTAAAATATTGAATATTTTATCTCTCATGGGTATTTTGGATAAATTTATATTAAAAACAAATACTCATATCATGCTGATCTTTTATGTGTACCGATCTATTTCTTTTGCAATCAATATTATATGTACCAAAAATTTTAGAACATATGAGGTTCTCATTAATAAATAATAATAATCTTCATTAGTTAATTTGGTTAATAAAAGGGAGATAACTCATTGTACATGAAAGAGACTTTTGTTCCAAATAGATGAAGCAATTGAGATCTCAAATCAAATGGCAGAATAAAATGGAGATCCCCATTATTTTGTAGGAACTTAATAATGAGATAATAGATCAAGTTGATTTGTTGTGGGATTGATATGGGAATTTAATAATGCATAAAATTTCACTGCCCAAATTACCCAGCTCGAAAAGTATGGTAGAGTCTACTCTCTTCTAATATATTAAAAAGAGTTTATGCTCTTGCAGGAAATTGTACATTTGCTCCATTTCACAAATCTTAGGAGTATTTTTAGGACCCCAAAATTTGAGAATGTAATTAACTAAACCTAGCAGTCGACCTAAAAATAACAATTTCGAAATTATGTAACCTGGACTGCATGAAAAAAAAAAAAAAAACTTTTGGATGCTACAATTTAGTTGTCTAGAAACTCAAAATTATACTTTCTTTTTAAAAAATACTCAACTTGGTGGTTCTAAAATGGATCCCAAAATTTTTGGCCAAGTGTAATTTTGCTCTTGTAGGAGCATCTATAAGAAAGCTTTATGTAAGTTGTCTTTTTTTTTTTGAGATATTATTGTAATATATATTAAAATAAAGTCTTCAATAAATAAAATCCGAAAATGGAAAATAATAAATTGTTTAGATTGGAAAGAATAAAATATAACTACAAAGACTACATGCTAATGAGGATCAAAATGCATATTTACTGTCTCTTAAAAAACCCTAGGTAAGTGTATTTTTAGGATCCTAAATTTTGGGCATGTCTCCTACTCATCCTAGCAGAGCACTCCTTGGCACAAGGAGCATCCAATTTTTGGAAACAAGGTTTAGATATTCGAATTGTTTTTTTATGGTATTGTGTATATTCTAATGCACATTGAGATTTTTTTTTTTTTTTGCAGATCACCTTGTTTTGGACCAAAAAAGTGAATACCATTCTTTATAAGATTTAGGGGAAGTTTTCGAGTGTATGTTTAGAATTTAGAACTAAAAATATATATGTTTAGAACTAAAAATATAAAAACTATGTATGTTTAGAACTTAAAATATAAAAACTATGTACAACCTTTTGTAAAACTTTTTAATAATTAAGGTATGGTTTGCAAAGGTTGCAACCTTAAATAATCGAAATAAAGTGCACCTCCAAAATTTGTCATGACAAACAATTTTGGTGTTGAAAATTGTTATGATGGTGTAAGAATCTATTTTTTCCCTAATTAAAAAAATTTAAAGTTTAAAAATATTTCAAATGAAGCAATCTATGAAAATCTTGAAAATAGATGTGTTGCAAGATGTATTATTTTTAGGACTTGAAATCTATCCTTTTTTAGGACCTATACATCTTGATATGGAGATGATCAATTGGATGCTTTACCAATATCAAAACAGCCTTTCTTGAAAGATTATGGAGAAATCTATGAAAATATTGAAAATAGACAGTTCAGATAATGTGTTGCAAGATGTACTATTTTTAGGACTAGAAATCTATCCTTTTTTTAGACTTATACATCTTGATATAGAGATGATCAATTAGATATTTTATCAATATCAAAACAGCCTTTTTTTTTGAAAGATTATGGAGATCATGTTAATCCTACATTTTTATGTATCAACCTTATTTAAGGTTTTTTCTTTACAAAATTATAAATATTATAAGATACATTTTTTTAAAAATTTTGTATACCTTACATCGCTTTTATGTATATACATAGTATTTTTGAAAATTTACTAATATATTTATGGGAATGTATATAAGAAAGTCACAATTACTTAGAACCATCCGCTGTAAAATCTGATAGCTTGGATGTGTCACAAAGTTCGAAAACATTTATTTTGAAGTTTGAGCTTTGTCAATGGAAAAATGGATCCATCTAATAACGCATCCAATGGTCAAGATTAATTTTGACAACATTTTACCAAAGATAAGTGGTTTCATTCTATACTTTTCCTATATTTATTTTTGTGGGAGATTAATTTTCTTCCCTTCAATTTAAGACATCCGAAGACCCAACCGATTCTGATAACGAGAACAGCATCAAATAATATTAAAGTAGACTCTAATTTTAGATCAAGAAATCCTTTTAGCATGGGTCATTAGACCAAGGGATTAAATGTATGGATTAAATGTAATTTTGCACATTGTTCAAATGCAACTTTACACTTGCGGGAGCATAATATATGCGCTCAATATATATCATTTTAGAAGGCTTAACGGGTCTCACAGTAGTGGCAATTTTGAAATAATTCCATTCCAAGAACAACACAAAAATTAGTAGCTTCAAAGAAATATGAGAAAAATAGCTTCTTGGGCTCAATTAATTGCTTGCTGATCATCCTTAGATCTTACTTTTATTCATCTCTCTGAAATTTTACAGTTTGAAATGGTTTCCTTGGAGTATTAATTATTAGTGAGATATCCTATTTATAACCTCAAACAAATCACAAAAATCATGTCCACTGAATATCCTAATTTACTAAAGAGTTTACATAAAAAATTAATATATGATGATTATGTGGTATCTATATGCTAAATGAAATTTTTTTGCTAAATTTATTTCAAGCTTAATTTTCATCCATCTCAATTCTCAAGTATAATATGATAGTAGATAAGCTATAGTTATAAGACTTCTCCTTCCAATCGAGTACAACTTCCAGACAATTACTTATGGATGAGAAAAAACAAAAAAATATTGGAAATTTAACTTTCAAATTGGACCATGGATAAACAACTTGTGGCACTCTGCGCTTATTCATTTTTAAAAAAATTCATTCTTAATGAGAAGCAAACAAGTTGGGGTGGGGAGAGAAGAGGAGAGACTATAAATATGAACATTGGTGATGGACGACATTTTCTTTTCTCTATCTTTGCGAGGGTGGATGCATTAGGAAAGAGATGGGACTCCTCACTTGGTATTTAGACCCTGAAATCCACTTTATGTGCCCCTGAGAGATGGAGAGGTCAGAGGGGACAGAGATCTTAAGAGTGAAAACAACTTGAAAGCTTTTCTTCTCATTCACCTTAGTGAAGTGAAGATTATTAGGTTGAACCTCTATGTTCACCCCATCAGGTTGAGCTACCTCCACATGGTATGAAGAGTTTGCATCCCCAACATTGGTCACTGTCCTTTTAAAGCTGAAAGAAGAAGGTCCCTCTGATTTGAAAACAACAGAGAAAGATGGGTAGTTCAATTCTCCCTCTAAGATGGTGGTCTCATTGGAGCAATGGGCAGTGCTCCCAGCAATGGCTTGTACTTCCTGCTCAGTGTATAGACCACACAGATAAGGTATGTAGTCATCAGCGGTGAGGTCGTAAACCAGGCCGGGATGTGCTGCTCTAGTGATGTTGACATGGCCGGCACCAATGGCGAAGACGTCGGCCGGGCCATGGGTTTGGTCGGTTATGGGCTTCCCTTTAGTGTTAAGCACATAAGCCGTGGTCATCATGGCCGACTTTATGGCCGCAGGGGACCAATTGGGGTGCGCACTCTTGAGCACCGCGGCCAGGCCGCTAAGGTGTGGGGCTGACATGGATGTACCCGAGATCATGTTGAACTTCACTCTTCTTGTATCACCGGGGATATCCGAGATGCTCGCATTCAAGGGCCAGGCAGCTAGGATATCAACGCCAGGGCCTATGATGTCAGGCTTCAGTATTCCGAAAGACTGTATGCTAGGCCCTCTCGACGAGAACCCGGCCACCTCTGGGGCGGCAGTGTCGCCGAACACAGTGCCCTTGAAGAGGATCGTAGCTGTGGGATTCTTGGTCGAGTTTATGTAGGCCTTTATCTTTTCACCATCTTCAAAGCTGATTTCAGAAGCCGGCAACACGTGTGCCTCGGCAATTAGAGGAAGGACGGATCCTTCATTGTTCAGGAGTATCATGGCTGCGCCTCCAGCTTTCAAGACAGCCATGCCCTTTCTTACTCTGCTTATACTGCCACCATCACAGAGTACCACCTTGCCGGCGACTTTATCTTCATTTAGTGCACCTTCAGCACAAATGTCGCCCGGATACACCAGAGGGAGGGGAGTTGGCCCAAAGCCCTTGGGCTGGTAACCGGACTGGCCCATGAATGTGTCGCCGTTGCCAAGCTTCGTGTTTGCCCTGATGGCTCGATCCACTGTGCTTGCCCCCACACTCAGGTACCACGGTGCCTCATTCGCTACCGAGCCATGACCCGGCCCTTGGTTTCCGGCAGAACAGGACACAAAGATACCATTTCTCATGGCATGAAATGCGCCGATCGCCAGTGGATCATTGATGAATGGCTCGGATTGCAAACCACCCAGAGAGACTGAGATCACGTCAACACCATCCTGAACTGCCTGATCGATCCCCGCCAATATGTCAGAGCCAGCGCAGCCCGTCGGATAACATACTCTGTAAATAGCTAGGTGGGCATGGGGAGCCATGCCAGTGGCTGTGCCCTGAGCATTGCCCAACACCTGAGCTCCGGGCACAAACCAGCCGGCTGCGGTGGTAGAGGTGTGTGTGCCGTGGCCCTCATTGTCTCTTGGGGATAGATGGCCGCCTAGATCGCCACTGTTGTAGGCCCTGGCGCCGATAAGCTTGTTGCTGCAGTGAGACGCGTTGAAGTCTTCACCATAATCGACGCACGTACCCTTCCACTTCTTTGGTGGGGGTGGCATGCCAGACGCATTCAGCGACGGGTGCTCCGGCCATATGCCGCTGTCTAAAAGACCTATGATGGTGCCATTGCCAAACCCACTTTCGGGCCATACACCACTGTTAGGGTTTAGCCCGAGGAACTTAGGCGTGTATGTGGTTTGAGGGTATAACAGGACATCCGGGTAAGCATGGAGAAACCCGTCTTTAGCCTTCATGGCCTCGACTTCTTCGGGGCTAAGCTTCGCAGCGAAGCCTTTGATCACTTCACTGTATGCATAGATCATTCTCTCATCAGCCGAGGAGCTCTCGGTGAGGGCGTTGGGCAAGAACGACCTGTAATAGCTTTCTCTGTCCATCAAGCTCTGGAATCCGAGCTCCGGCAGCCTCACATGGACAATGTATGTCCTCAGCTCGCTCTCTGCCGCCAAAGCCGAGGGACGGTGCAGTCGTGAGGCACATGCAAAGCTGAAGCCATGCACCAATGCCATGGCACACAGGAAAAAGAAGATGGATGTCGTTCTCTTAAGTGCTGCTCCATTCCTCTGGCACATTCTTTTCTGTCTAGAATAACAAGAAGATTGTGACAGTGATTGGGGATTTAAAACTGAAAGCCTGAAGAAACTGTTTAAAGATTGAGTATAGAAGAAGAGGAAGCATGTTCTACTTCAATGGGGGTCAAGTAATACCTTACAATTAACTGCCTTAATGTTTGGATTGTATACAATTAAACTAGTTATTTTTGGTACAAAGAGGTCACAATTATTTATAATCCTTTGATATCAAATCGGATACTTTGGGTATGTTACAAAGTTTGAAAAAATTTGTTTTGAACGTGAGTTTTGGTCAATGGAATAAATGCAACCATCCAATTTTAAATCTAATGGGGCAATTAATTGTGACAACCTTTTCCCTTATTTCCAATATTAATCCTCGATAATACTAGAGCCAATATTTTTCCACTGGAGAACTTATACAAATTTAAAGAATAAAATGGATATATATAACTTATTAGAATTCTATTATAGGCTATTCTTTTGTTTATGTACTATTACGTTGTGGAATATAAGAAATAGAGCCAAAAGAGTAATCAGAATAGGTAAAAAGTTATGCCATTAGATCCTTTCAAACAAACATTTATGTAATTCGAGAATAGAAAGTACAAATTATAGTGGTTGTATGGATTTAGAGAGATACTATTTACTAATAAACTACAATATTTAATATAAATCATGTTCACTGAGAATACAAATTATTCGATAGCATACTGTATCATGGTGAATGATATTTTATTATAAAATTTCCTACGGCATCATAAATTTCGTAATGGCTTCATTTCTCATGGTATTGCTTTTTCATATGGCTTCATTTCTCGTGGTACTGCTTTTTTATATGTCTTCATTTCTCATGGTATTGCTTTTTTGTATTTCTACCCCTATTTTTGGTAGGAATATCAAAAACATGGGTGGAAACAATAAAGAACAGGTGCCGATAGTAGCCTTATTGTTCATTTAACACAAATATCAGCCAAAAAAAAGTAGTATAAATTAGGACCAATAGATTCTTGTGTATTATTTTATTTATTTATTTTTAAGTACCATTAAGTTATTGAAAACAAGGTTTGAAAACAAGGTTAGATATTCATGCATCTACAAAGTACACATTCAATACAAATGCATTGGGGAGAGAAGTTAAAATAGGGAATAAGCCAAAAAAAAAAAGAAAATAAAAGGAAAATAAAAGAGAAACTGGGTGTGAACTAAACAAATACATGAAAAGAAAAAAAAAACTGGGTGTGAACTAAACAAATTCATGAACAACATGCATATTAGCACATTGTTCTCTAAATAGGGAATCTGGTGTCGACTCGGACACCCTATGATCGAGTCAAATCACCGATTCCCCAATCAGCTTGCAGATTATGGTCATTGGGAATCACCCCAGTGATAAATAAAAAAAATATCTAAAAAAGAGCGAAAATCATACTAGAGATTCAAAGCCGGCTCGCCACATTTTGAAACACTAATCATAGTCGAATGATGAATGCATCGAGATTAATTCCTAATTTTCTTGCAAGATTTGAAGTAATGCTACGAACCGAAATGTAAACATAAAAGAACAAATTTACAATAATGAAATAAAAAATAAAAAACATGCATATTTTCATTGACTTTACCTCCAAAAGAACAGAAAGACCAACTGGTTGAACCGAGGAGCCTTGGCACGTTAGAGATGAATCCCTTAGGATGTCGATACTTTTATTGTCAAAACCTTACCTCAATTTAGTATGTTGATCAATCATGATATAGAATATGAATCACTCAAGATACAAAATCTTTCAGAATTAGAAACTGTTAATTCAGTCTTTTATGGCAACAATAATCTAATTTCCATTATGAAATATCAATCAATTAGATATATTGAGAAACCCTAGATTGAATCCTTTAGATTTCTACTATTTTAGCCATGAATGGCTTTTAGGAAGTAGAGTAAATATCTAACGGGCTAGAAATAGCATTTTTGTTATGTAGGTTGGGAGAAACCTAAAACATTGCGTTTAGGATCCCTAATTGTCCATTTAGTCCCTCAGGAGTATATTGTCCATTTAGTCTCTTGGGTAAAACCCCGGTATATTATTAGTATATTAAGCCAAAAGAAATTCTACTCTTTCGAGAATATATTGTCCCCAAAAGTTGGAGATATATTATCTCTTTAAGTAATAGATTAGACTAAATGGAAAAATAAAAAGTTCCCTGATTGCACCCTTTAAGAACTTGAAGAAAACATAATTTCATGGTTAAATATACACATCCAATTTTTAAAGGGTGAGATCTAATTGTCAAAAAAAACTAAAATTTTAATCTTTTTTTTTTGTGTATGTAAATAATCATTTAGTGATTCTAAGATGATTTCCAAAATTTCATATTAAAAAAATCATCCCATATAAGTCATCCTGATGGAAAAAAAGTAAACTATGCTTCCGAGGGAGCATAGTATACGTCCTCAATTCTAAAAGCCCAAAACTATAGGATAGGGAGTTACAAAGGTTTACTCCTGACAGTTTAAAATTGTCAATTCGATACGCAAGCAGGAGAAGATCTAAATATATTTCTTATATTATTTCTTGCATAACCCGCCGCTGGGCCCGACCTGCGGTGTGCATCAGCTGTCAACTAAATAAAATAAGAAAATATATGTAATGTGGCTATTTACTTTTAATACAAGGATATTACAACTATATGGATGTTAAATGTCAAATTGAGCAGTCACAGATGTGTCATGACTAGGCACAATGTTCAAAATAAAAATTTTCAAATGTTGTAACGTTTTTTAATATATTAAATATCATATCCCATGATTAATAATGATAAGGATCTTCTTGTATCATAAATCAATGATCTCATAATATATAATCCCATAAATAAGATAACATCACACTATAATATAATTTATATTGTCAAATTATTGTTCATACAATTTCTTTAATTTTTAATTCCCTTAGATTTTAGAAAACAAGGAAATTTATATTGGGACCCAAAATAAGTTTCAAAGTTAAAAACCAATTTATGTTTTTGGACATTTTATGGTGATGCCCAAAATTTTCAAATTTAATTTCTATTTTACTCCATGTTCGAAAATTCAACTTTTGCACTGCAAAAAAAAAAAAAAAAAAAAAAAAAGGATCATCATGTGTAATATAATTGATATTTTCAAATTATTGTTCTTACAATTTCTTTAATTTTTAATTTCTTTAGTTTTTAGAAAACAAGGAAATTTATGTTGGGGCCCAAAATAAGTTTCAAAATTAAAAACCAATTCATGTTTTGGGACATTTTATAGTGATGCCCAAAAATTTTCAAATTTTTTAATTTCTATTTTACTCCATGATCGAAAGTTGAGCTTTCGAACCGCCAATAAAAAAAAAAAAAAGTTTTTGGCCAGTTTGAAATACTAACTTTGAACTGTCCTAACACTAATTAATTTTGTTATTGGATGCTGTGAAAACCTAAATCCATGGATGGGCTCAGGGCCGGCTGGGTCACTCTGCTAGTTCTAGGGCCAAGTCTGGGCTAGGACTCCCTCAGCCTGGTCCCCATCGGGGGACCCAGACCAGTGCCGGCTGGGTCACTTTGCCAGGTCCACGGCTAGGGCTCCCTAAGCTTGGTCCGTACTGGACCTATAGGGACCCGGGAGCAGGCTCAGGCTATTGCCAACCATTAATCCCTAAAATGAAGAAAAATCCGTCTTTGCAAGGACCTTTCCTTAGAAGGGGGCATAAAGATTCATGTTAAAAGATATCTAATTTTATTTCCCTTCAAAGAGACTTAGATACCTAAATCTCTGCTCTAAATCATAAGTTTCCATAACAACATAACCATTTGTACACCCTTACTATGATATAGTAATGAAAAATCATCATCTTAGAAGAGTTCAACTCTTGAAAATTACAGCAATGGGGCTTCTCACTTCATATTTGGAGCCTGAATACCACTTTATATGGCCCTCTGAGAATTCTAAAGACCCAACACCTTCTTTAGAGAAGACCACTTGATAGCTCTTCTTCTGGTTCATCTCTGTGAATTCAAGTGTAATGGGCTTCACCATCACACTCACCCTTTTAGGCTCCACTACCTCCACCTCATATGAAGAATTTGCGTCTCCAACATTGGTTACTGTCCTGTTAAAGCTGAAAGAAGAAGGCCCTTGGTTGGAAGAGAGATTCTCCCAAGAAGGTATCGCCATTGCCGAGCACTGGGTTGATCCTAATGGCTCGGTCAAGGGTGCTGGCGCCGCCAGTTAAAACACACGGTGCACTGCTCAAAACCTGGTAATACCCGGCCCAGCGTTGGACGCCACGCAGCTCACAAAGACACCCTTCTGCACTGCACCAAAGCCGCCCATGGCCGGTGGCATCATCATAAAACGGAGTTGATCCACTGCTCAAAGAGATCGAAACCACGTCTACACCATCCTGGACAGCCTGATCTAGCCCAGCAAGTGTGTCGGATGCCGAACAGCCTACCATTTCTCACACCTTGTAAACCGCCAGGTGCGCTTGGGCAGCCATGCCACTTGCGGTGCCCTGGGCATTGCCGTAGAGCTTGGCATGAGACACGAACCCACAGGCAGCGGCGGTTGCCGTGTGTGTTCCATGGCCAACATTATCCCTCGGTCAGACAGCTCCACTCTGTGCTTCCCTCGCATTCTGACCTTGTAACCTCGATCAAAGACATAAGCGCCGATGAGCTTGTTGTTACAGAGTGATGAGTTGAAGTCTTTGCCAGCATCCACGCACTTGCCTTTCCACTTCTTGGGTGGCGGCGGCATACCAGAATGATTCAAAGACGGGTGTTCCGGCCATATGCCTGTGTCACGAAGGCCAATGATGGTGCCATTTCCGAACCCACCATGTGGCCAGAGTCCCGATTTAGGGCTAAGCCCGAAGAACTCGGGGGTTCAGGTTGTTTGAAGGTGAAGGAGCTCATCAGGGTAAGCATGGAGGAAGCCATCTTGGCCTTCATGGACTCAACCTCTTCTGGTGTGAGCCTGGCTGCAAAGCCATGAATGACTTCACTGTAAGCATAAACCATTCTTGGTTCAGAGGAGGAGGAGTTTGTTGTTGCAGTGTCTGGCAAGAAGGATCTATACCAACTTTCTCTCT